AAATGAGTATAGTTTGGTGGTTGTGGCAGCGTAAACATAGGCCATTATTTTTTGCATCACGTGACAGCAGCCGCATACAGGCAAATCGTATAAAATTACTGTCAGCAAACAATGATGTCACCAACAATGTCCTTGGTCGTATGGCCGGCATTCCATGCTTTGCCTCATCAATGAAACAAGGGTATAGTCATCAATGTGACTCATTATAGCGTCATTCTGGTCCAGAAACCTTTTCTAATTTTCATGTCGCTTCCGTGGCAGCAACCATTTCCGCGCCCACTCAGTTCACGGATTCTCTTCATGTTTACTGGAGCATACGACTTTAGTGCCTTTGTAAATGTTTATTTTCCGCATCTGCATAGAGCCTTCTTTGCGTGGAGCCACACCTTTTAAGTCCACTGGGACTCCACGTTTTGGTTTTGACCGGACAAGTTAGGCGTTACATGGGTCGCAAGCAAATACTGTACGACAGTGGTTAAACGTCGTAATTTACTCTTTCCTCTGATGGGCACACGTTTTTGTAAAGCACTTGATCCACGTATAAACATAAACTGTACCCATCCCTCTTTGCTTATCCTTCCCTGCCCCCTCCACTGACCATCTTGCAGTGGCCCAAAAATGGCATCACGAGACCATCTATTTACTGACCTAATGCCATTCCTTTTATGGGTTTATACAACAGAATTTTTAAACGAAAAGACAAAATTGGTGTTTTCATAGACACCACTGCACATTGCTATGCGTCATTACCAACGTACCAAGTTCACCTTGACCTCAATTAAAAATGTCACATTTTTGTATGAGCTTCGTCATTCACTGGGGTTCACGTCATTCTGTCCACTGGGTGTTGTCATTCTATGAAGAATAAGCAGGTCCTTTTATAAATACACAATCACTTTACATTAATGATAGATACTCAGCAAGTTGCAGTACTTTATTATGCAAGAATTGTTTCATTTTGTTCCCAAATTTAATTCCAATTGTCCTTATTCCATGTTCGAGATTGGTCTGCAGAAGGAGATTTCATGGAACCACTTATGAGATGCCTTCAAATAGCATCTCATCTGCTTGCACTTTCAAACATGCTATTGCCAGATAAATCTTTAGTCACCTCGCAATTCAACAGGATTGTTTTTATGAGCGCTGGAATTTTCCCAAATTAAGTCAAACACACATTTGATACAATAGAGTTTTATTGTGCAGTCATTGGTGACCAAGTTGATACCATCAACTCGCTACACTTTACAACACAGTTCATTAATTTATGGCTTAAAAGTGGATATCTAACCCTAGGTCTCAGAAATCCTGGCTCTGTGCTGTGACACAACAATTTTTTTATTTAACCAGGTAAGGCCTACTGACCGATACAGCTCTTTTTCAGAAGCGACCTGGCCACAAACGACTGCTCAACGAAGTGGCTCGTCATGTGGAAATGTATTTCAGCCAAATACTCTAAACGCATGTTTCTAAATGTGGTGGGAAAACCCGAAGGACCAAGAGAAAAATCCACACCACCACGAGGATAACATGCAAACTCCAAATATACAGGCGTCAGAGTCGGGATTGAACCCATGAATCCTTCCTTCATACTAGACAAGGGAGATAACGTCTCACCACCGCGACCTCTGCCAATCGACCACCTCTACAGAGTACCGTATTGTATTAAATTTGTCCAAGTAATAAAATAAGGCACTTCAGTACAATATTGTATTTTCACGAATAGAAAAACTCAACATTCGTCATTAAAACTTCCTTGAAAAGGAAGAATATATATAATAGGTGACGTTTTGGGAAATGGTCCTTCATAGAACATAAAACATGAAAAGCTGGATATTCATTAAGGATAAGTTGTGAGTGGATACATCTACCAACACACGTCACGCAAAGAGTGGGAGGAAAGACCTATTGACCGCAGCTTTATTACTTGGCACGATACATTAAATGGCCTCCAACAATTTGGTATGTACAGTACTTTAATCCAAAATAAAGCCTTCTAAGCGAGTGTAAATATACTCAGCTGATGCCAAGTTAAAGCCCAAACGCATCTTGTAGTTTTCATTTAAAAAATACTTTGAGCAAAAAGGGACCAAATATGTCAATGGAAGTTATAAATTCAACAAAAATTATAACCTTTGGATCAATCATTAAACCGGGGACATAACTGAAATTAAAATGTCGGCATGTTGCCTTTTTGCAAATCCAATGTCGACCGCATTACAATACCGTAATGTTTTCCAACCATTTGAACAATTATTAACTTTATCTGCATTCTGAGGCGTCTAACTTCTGTTTTACCAGACGTTGGCAGCGCCCCATGCATTCCTCCGTTGGAATGTTATGATGACCCATTGTTTCGCTTCACCCATTCATAGGATACTTTTGTCTTCATACAAGCTGCTGCTACACATGGGCCACTACATTGTACAGATACAGTGCTCTCTCGCACAGTCCTATACAACGTCTGATGGTGCAATGTATGTTAAGTGACTTGGAAAAGAACATGCCAGCAAAGCACACTTCCTTCGAAAAACAAACAATATTTCCTTTAAATAACAGAGAGATCGTTATCACTGCGTAATAGCCAGCACAACAGCAAGGGCAGTTGTCCTTCTTGGGAACCATTTCATTTTAACAATTTTCACGTGCCAATTAACGTATCTAAATTACCTAAACCCTTCATATCCATTGTGACCATGACCGACGGAATACGTGCCATCTATAATTTGAGCTTGATGTGATAATGATGACCACCAATTAGCCAAACTTAATGCCTCAAGTGGTGTGGCTCGATTCATCATTTGCCGAATATAGAAACTAACTCATTTAAGTGTTTTCATGTAAGCATTTCAATAAAAATAAGTAGAATGTTTCGTGGGCCTACTTGCACTGTGGATAATCTGTTGTTGGGCGCGCATATATAACAGCAATTTGATTTATTACAGTGGCAGAAACACAATGGGCCAAGCGCGTATTTTATCCACAATGTTTTGTATTCTGAATTACATTGTCTAAACGAAAAACGACAAAAAATAAATTGCCCGTGTGGGAATGAGTCTTGAGACTAAACCCGTTCAACCCACTTAAGAAAAATCACAACTTAAAACGTTTGCGCACATTGGTCAAGGCATTACTTAACCAAGGTGTTTGATAACCTTGAAATGCTCTGCATTGTACTCAGGATACTGTAATCGTTTTATCCAAGCCTGCATAAACTTGACAATTAAAACACATACAGTATTTTCGACATTGCCCAATTTGGTCACAATCATAAACACTGCATAAGCGTGTGCCAATGTTTAATTGTGTGTTTGTTGGAGGATGAGCTAAATTTGCACCTAACATTAGGTAAGCCTGTACAGTAAATTGCAGGTAGGCTAAGGGCCACGTTATAAACGTGGTCACCTTGACAGCAAGCAGTATGTCATCGTAAACACCTGCCCATGCCCAACAACGTTAACCCAACAATACGCGTTTTAAAACCATCACAACATTCATTGTTGATATTGCGGTGTTCGTTCGTCATCAACACATAACGTACAGCCCCTTGTCCATCCACTGCTGGATGAATGCTTTCCCCTACTACGCCTTTTGTTGCTTGACCACAACCACACAATTAACAGTGCTGGCCAGGGCAAGTTCGTCAAGGGTATCCATAACCGGTTTTGAATATCACTCGCCAATGACTTTAAGCCGTGGCCAGGAATTCAACTCAGGTAGCAAGTTTTTTCGCTTGATGCACTCACATAACCGGTTTTGAATATCACTCGCCAATGACTTTAAGCCGTGGCCAGGAATTCAACTCAGGTAGCAAGTTTTTTCGCTTTATGCACTCACATAACCGGTTTTGAATATCACTCGCCAATGACTTCAGCCATGGCCAGGAATTCAACTCAGGTAGCAAGTTTTTTCGCTTGATGCACTCACATAACCGGTTTTGAATATCACTCGCCAATGACTTTAAGCCATGGCCAGGAATTCAACTCAGGTAGCAAGTTTTTTCGCTTGATGCACTCACATAACCGGTTTTGAATATCACTCGCCAATGACTTCAGCCATGGCCAGGAATTCAACTCAGGTAGCAAGTTTTTTCGCTTGATGCACTCACATAACCGGTTTTGAATATCACTCGCCAATGACTTTAAGCCATTGCCAGGAATCCAACTCAGATGAGGAAGTTTTTTCGCTTGATGCACTCACATAACCGGTTTTGAATATCACTCGCCAATGACTTTAAGCCATGGCCAGGAATTCAACTCAGGTAGCAGTATGACTTTAAGCCATTGCCAGGAATCCAACTCAGATGAGGAAGTTTTTTCGCTTGATGCACTCACATAACCGGTTTTGAATATCACTCGCCAATGACTTTAAGCCATGGCCAGGAATTCAACTCAGGTAGCAAGTTTCTTCGCTGCATGGGCGAATAGCCAGTGCTAAAAGCCACTACTACTGTATATCGAACACATACAGTGCTAAACTCTCACATTTAAATCCCGTACATTGGAGGCAGCAACGTGTTTTTTCACGTAACAAAAATGTACGATCATAAATGCACGGATGACATTAACGCACAATCATTAATTTATACATAAACGAATTGCCTCGTCTGTACAAAAAACGAGACAGTAAATGTTTCCTCCCCCCCCCCACAACCAAATGAAGTCAAGCAAAAACGACTCTTACCCACGCCTACGAGCTCACGATTCAATTGACAATCTCCGACCGTCAAACTTTGTGCTGTTACCAAACTCGTCGTCTTACAATCACTCTGTCACACAGCGTTCCGAACCCACGTGAGAAGAAAAACACTGTCCTGTCCACCCCCCCACCACCCCACAAAGTCCAAAAGGGCGCAGTTAGAAATGTATTTAAAGCAGCTCCTACAGGTGCTTGCTTACCCCCCAAAAACATTATAAAACACCCTGGCAAACACAGATAATTACACACACAAACTTCACAACGTTTCTCTTTGGCAAAATGTTAAAACGAGCAAAATTCCCCACCTTCCTGTAGGCTCCACCACCGTACGACATCTCTCTTGCTCTGCCTTGTTTGTTGTGCTGTTGTGTGTGCTGTGTGTCCTGTTACTTGAGTCCGACGTCTTACGGTGGCCACCACCGCTAGTGTCACCGATCGCTAGTTTAACCCACCACCACTAGCAGCAGTAGCAGCAGTAGTAGCAGCAGCAGCAAGACACAACTACACCCCGTGGCCGCTCCACTCGCCTCGCTCTTCCCACTGACAATCCAATATGTCTGTCTGTGTCTGCACCGATAACTTGGCCACCAACACCCCCCCCACCCCACACTTGCTCGTGTATATAACCACCACCACCAACAACACTACTACACCACCACTACTACACCACCAACAACACCACCACTACTACACCACTACCACCAGCAGCAGCAGCAGCCACCCCAGAAGCGCCACTCACCGCCGCTGTGCAGCAGCCAATGGGGAGGCAGCTACGCAAGGTGGTGGTGGGGGGGGGGACATTCCATTCCCTTCGGGGTAACCATGACGATGGGCCCCCACCAACTGGCTGGCCAGTGGGGGGGGGGGGCGGTGGTGGTTGGTCGGTGGTGGTGGTGGTAGGGAGAGGGCTTTAAGGTGTCAAAACAATTCTCTTTGGGAGGACGGGAGAGAGGGAGGAAAAAAAACAACACCGCAAAGTGCCACCGCTTAAGAAGATAGTGGCCACGCGGCCCGCTTTCGTCTCGGGATTGTGTTGCAATATTAGTGCAGCGGTGAATTTTTTTGAATCCGTGTTTTTAATTTGGGTGGTGTGGGTGCAATTGATGAGTGACCCGTCTCATAAGAAGTGATGTGAGGGGGGGGGGGGGGCATTCCCCTGCATTTTGCTCAAATGGCACGGTCTTTGAGTCACTTGCTGGCCACGCCTGCCACGTATTCCACAAACACTGGCACCTTCGCTTTTGCTCACAAACTTAACTCTTCCAGATCGAGTGTACGCATACCGACGTCTGTGTACACGTGAAAATTGTGATGGGATTTGCTAATGGGATAAGGCGGTGGGAGGGGGGGGCTTGCTGTGGTCACGTATTCTCATGATTTGCTGGTTCAACAGGAAAAAATGTGCACCCACTGAAGCCCTTGTTTTGGTTAATACAACTTCCTTCCAGATTATAATCAGGGAGGTCCTTAGGCAGTCGAGCAAAAACTTATTTACAGAGTCTTGTTAGTTGCAAAAAAGTGCAACATTCTTGTGGCTTAACAAAAGAACAGCCTTAAAGTAACGTACCGACAGTTTGCAAGCGTAATGTTTTCCATGGCATGGCCACTCTTAAAATAACACTTATAAAGATACTGTTAACACTGGCAACACGGTTAAATGAAAGTCAGGTGCAGAGGATTAACATTAGCTATGGGAAGTATAATCCCATTGCTCTTGGAAATACCAGATGTAGAAACCATTCGATGGGTTTGTCTCAGATAACCGATCCCTTGAGCATGTTTAATCAATTGAAATAACCTATCAGTTTTAGCAGATGATTTGTAGGCGTCTCATTGTTTATTCTTATAAATGCAACATTCATTAGACAATGACGTATTTTTTCATTATGCTGTTTGTCAGTAAAACCAACCTTTAATAGATCGCATTGTTCCAGCATGAAATATGTAAGATACTCATACATTTATAATGTTTTCTTTTGGGCATGTGCATTCATCTTGAAAACAGCCCTTCGTTCAACAACCCAACCCCGCCTACACATCGCAAGGAATAAAGTATAACCATTTCAAACTTGCCAATAATTAATACGTACAGTAGAATAACGTAATGTATTAAAACTTGTTAACTGGGTAGGCACGAACACAACAAAAACAATGTGAACTTAGGCAATTTACACTATCTAAGTCGGGTTCAGTATTGTCATTTTCGGACAGCAAGTGCGTTTAGGACTTGAAAAAACCCCTGATTATAATGCGAGTGTGACGTAACATTGTATAGTACACACTTCACTATCTACCAAATACTGAGCAGCTACAAAAAGTCTGCTCTTTTCTAACAACAAAAAGTAAAAGAAGGAACGTGTTACATAATTACAACACAGGTACCTGAGTACAGACAAAGGGGACCGTGTACAATTATCCATTGTACTTACAGGTGCAGCAGTCGTGGTGTTAAAACATTGTGAGGCTATGATTGGGTATGGTGGGGGTTGTCGCACACATTTGATGCCTTTTGTACCAAAGAGCTGGGACTGTCCTGAGCCAACAACAATCTATGCCAGTTTAAACCGAACAGGGAGGGCATAATAACCCCCCAGCGTATTCCCCAGGCAACAGCTGACCCCCAGACCAACCCTGCAATCTCTAATAGATCAACAGACCCCGTCTTTCATTGTACCCCCACTATTTACATTACAGTATTTTCCATTCGATAGTTTCATTGAGCGAGGGCCACCTTTTTACACACAGCACGGTGATAATTGAACAATTACTATATTGTTCTAAACTGTGCATTCGTTCTGGCTTTAACGTAAAAAGTTTTTTTTTTTACAAATGTACCCGGCTAATCTGTCGGTAATTACAAAGAAACCAGTTAATTTAGAGGACTTGGGCCAACTCGGGTTTAACCCCAGTGCAAAGCACAAGACGGCACTGTATAATTTGGGTCTATACTCTACACCTTTTGACAAAATACAGAACCACTCTGGTGTTGCAAAGGAGGAATCTTCGGTTGTGTGCAGTTGTCCCATTCCACAGTAGTAGTAAAATAAATAAAAACCATGAGCATCCCAAGTGCAATACAACTCAAATGTGCATGTACAGCCCTTTACGGTCACTTCAATCGACTGCGCGGATGAATGAGGGCCACTTACCCCCACGTCGTGCACTTAGCGATGGTTAATAAACCATACTTCACCATTCTCGTCGTCGGCGAGGCTAAAGGAACGTGGACGGGCATGTTTGGCAGTGCAGTATAACAATGGATTCAGCTACACTGCCCTCTGCTGCGCGGAATGTAACCCCGCAGCCTGGCAACAACCTGATTTTCAGGTGTTATTTTTTAAAACGTAGACTTTCGCGACCAGTGTTATATTCATAATAAAGGTTTTTGGGTGAGATAGCGTAAGTATAAATTCGTCGCAACCCTCCACCACCCGACACGGCCAATCAGTAAGAAATGTGTCACGTTAACAAAACGCCAATTAGTTATTTATTCAGCCCATCGGTGCGTTTGTGGAGTGAATCCACAACATTTAGAATTTGAGTAGTACGACGTTTTGCTATTCATTAAGTACCGTACACTTTACATAAATATAAAGTGTACGGTACTTAATGAATAGGGGTTATTTTAATCACAGATTTAAACTTTACAGTATTTTGGGAAAATCTTTTTTGCAAGATAATTAATTACGGTACAAATGGCAATTAGTAAATTTAAAAACTTTAATAAAATCATCTTGATTTGAATCTTTCGTGACTGCAGGAATCCATCCTCTTTGGTTTTTGGGTAAAGTCACGTAGGTAGAAAAATAAAATAGATCACGACGTTTCGATCGCAGCACAAGCCATCGTCCTCAGGTGAAACAATACAGCAAGGCAGACTGCTAAGGCAATACTAACCATTTAATTAATAAAATAAATGGTTAGTATTGCTATACAGTAATATACAAATAGTTAAGAGCTAAATGTGAACAAAATCCTACACCCGTTCCCAGACACTTTAAAAATATATATCCAACACATCCACAATGTATTTATAGTGTAAAAAGAATGGGACACAATTACTGGAAAAGAACTGGCGTGTTTAAAGACCGTTAAAGTCTTCGACCAAAATATTAATAAAACAGCAGTACTCTATACGCAAATATATAATCCGGACAATAAAAATAAACTATAAACTTTTGACTTTATCTTACAATTGTAAATCTCGTTCAAATAGGTGGCTTTGCGCCAACGCTCCACAGGCTGCCCAAAAAAAAAGAATCTGTGCCAAACCTCAACCAAAACGGGTCAAATGGAAAATGTATTGTTCAAATAATAGACCGTATGTTTGCTGAACTTCTTTCGTAGTCAAGTACAAAATGCAAGCAAATCCTCGCTCACTCACTCACCTTTAAGAAGCGTTTGCTTTGAGATGTATGTTACCCCCTTGGCTTCAAGAAAACTCGGTCCCTGTAGTTCCTCGTTTGTGAACCACGCCGTTTGAATGTATCGCTCGGTGTGGCGTGTAACTTCTATTTAAAACAAACCAATCACTATCAAAGAAAGAACGGTATCCGTACAATTATTGAACTACGGTACTGAATATGTTTTAATAGAACCAAGAGCTCTCCGACAGACAAAACAACAACACAAAAAAATCACTGCCTTAGTCGTGCGTGATGTTCCAACCAAAACCTTTTCCACTTAGTTGGACTTCAACCTGTTAAGCTCCCAACCCTACCTTTGCCGCACCCAACATCCCACCTCACCTACGAATGCATTGGCTGATGAGCAGTGTTTGCTCTAACATTAACATAGCAAAGCCACCCAATGGCATTGTGAAGAGTGCTGGGGGTTTTTTTGCGTGACTAAGACACCCAATCCAAGTCCACCTCTTGCTGCCGTCTTGTCCGCCCCTCCTTACCTGGTTGAGGTGTGGCATGCATGGCAGATTGTCCGCCCCTCCTTACCTGGTTGAGATGTGGCATGCATGGGCAGATGGTGTTGAACTGTGTACGACATGTATGAGCCTGCACTGGCACTAGTAAGGTGTGGTCGAACCACAACAAAAAACCCAACAACTCCCTACATATGCAGGGGATGTATAATGAAATGGTCTCTATAATGCCCTATAATTTGGACAACGTACGCAGATTAATTGCATTGTTCAATCTGCTCAGGAAAGTTGATTCTTGGCAAGGATGCGTCGCTCGAAAAAGGTGGCTGATGGGGTACGTTGTCCTAAAATAATTACGGAGTGGAAGCTAAGGAGGGATTGAACGCTTGGTGATTATAATTGTTGACATTGATACACTTGACGCATGATATTTAAATAGTTCAATGCAGCTTTGTACTTTGTAGCTGCCTGGCACGTTGTATACCACGTGACAGTCTTACTGTTCTGCTGGGAAATGTTACATAAGCATGGACACATTTAAAGACGTAGATTTTGAGTTGCAACGCAGTTAACTTTACTGCAGGGCCACGTGGTGGCCAACAGAGGACAGTGCAGCACAATATGTTGTACTATGCTGTACTTCTATGCCCCCCTCATCGATGCTCCCCTCCTGCACCATCCTGTAATGACCGACGTGGTGAAGTATGGTCAAGTAACCCCCATGATCCGCACGACGTGAGGAGGCCCTCATCCAACAGTGAACAGACAAATGGGCCATACATAGCTGATGTATATCTGGCAT